CAGCTCCAGGTTGAGCTGTTGTTCAGCATCTTAGCTGTAGAGGGCAGTGTCACTGGCCCTCATATGTGGGATCTGAACTGGGGCTCTCTGGCTTCCCAAGCCAACTCTTAACCAACGTGCCACTCCGCCTGCCTGAGTTATACTATTTCTAAGATGGCTTCCAAGTAGAATTTCTATCAATCCATAATTTTGAAACATTTTTCTTGGCCAAAAAAAGCGATGACATTAAATCTTATTACCCAGATCTTAGTATTTACCAGATATAACTATACCTTGAAATATACTAAACAAATTAAACCAAACATATAAACAAACATGGGTTGTAGCACAGGAAAAAAGTAAACATGTGCTCTAACTACATTTTTATAGTAGTAAAGAATAGGATTTTATTATCAGAAAAACTATGTTCAAATTCTGGCTCGCCCACTTAGCTCTGTAACTCTAGGCAGATTAATTAAACCCTCTGGAACTTACTTTGTGTAAAATAGGAATAATATTATTTAACCTTTTAGAATTGCTGTGAGGTTTAAAGAATCTATATAGTACAATCAGTAAATATCTCTTTTCACTTTTCCTTCATGATTTATGCATACTGTTCCTTCTGAAGAGCATACCTTTCTCCCTCCTGTCTACCTGGCACACTCTTACTCTCCTTTACAACCCAGTTAAACGCCACTTGTCACCACTACTTTGATCCAACAATTCCACTTCTAGGGATCTATTCTAGTAAAATACTTGGACATAACACAAAGAGGCAGGTACAGTGATAATTATTGAACTTTTTATAATAGCAAAAAATTGGAAACCAAAATGTTCATCAATAGCGAACTGGATAAATAAACTGTGGTAATTCATACTATGGAATATATGCAGTGGTTAAAAGAGTTATATGTGTGGTCATGGAAAGCTTCTGAATTGTAAGGATCTCGGCCCAGACCCTAGGCCAGACAGACTTAGCCGGACAGGCTCACTTTTAAAAATCATACTTCAGCTACTCCAGCTAGACTCTAAGCAGAACTTCCCGTTAAGACAATAAAACACCTAGCTTTACAAGAAATGGGTTGCAACAGAAATATTAAAAATGTTTTGCAGAAGTAGTTTTGCCCAACTGGTTTAGACCATTTCACAGGAACTAATAGCTCTTTTTGCTTCTGTACACCTGCTTTGCTTCTACTGGGGAATAAAAGGTTAAAGAAAAACATTCCTCAGGCCTTAAAGTTCCCCCTTCCTCCCCCTTTCTCAGGCCTTGCAGTTCCCCCTTCCTCTACCTCCTTCATGCTAACATTTCAGGAGGCCTTGAAACAAACTAACTTTATCAACCCGGGTCACAATGTACTGTTAAGACAAACTGGACATAACAACACTGTTGCAACAGCGGGAGGTAGTTTTAACTAAAATAACTAAACATTCTTTTTAGTGTCTGTAATTTACTTTACGTTTAACCCCCACCTTATAAAAACCCTACCCACTGAGACCTCGGGACCGTTTTCTCCTTAGTCGGAGGGGCGATTGCTGAGCTCAGCTTAATAAAATCTTCGGAACTTTAAACTTTAATTTGACATCCAGCCTCTTTATTGATTATCTGGACCCAACAGAATACCTAAGCGAGAAAAAAATTACAGAAAAGTATACAGAACACATTATAATACATAAAATGTGATCTATAATATAGATTTATATTCTACAGAACACATATATGTAGTATTTTATGTGTACATTTGTTTATGTATAAGCATAGAAAAGTGTTTAGAAGGATTTGTACCAAACAGTATCTGGGTGGAGAGTGGGATGGGGAGCTGTATAAAAGGGGCTTAGGCTGTGCTTTATTGTTTGTCTGTTTTAATATAATCATATATTACTTGAATTTTTAAAATGAAAAGGCACTTTTTCTCTAACACTTTCTCCAACTCAGGAAGAGTCAGTTATTCTTCCCATTACAGTCTCACTAGACTGGGCTTTTTGTGATGATTGTTTACTTGTGTCTCTCTCCCCCTGCCCCCCAAAATAGTGAACTTTAGAGGCTGTATCCCCCAGGAGGTCTGGCAGATCAGGCGCTCAATAAATGATTGCTGGACAAAGGTAATACTAAACAACGAAGAATTTACATAGAAAAAAAAAAGTACATCTTAAACTACAGAGGAGGTACCAACAGTTAAAATGGAATACCTGGGCAGAGAGGGGTAGGAGTGGGGAGGACAGGGGGATGGGAGACAGTGTTATGCCGGCACCCCAGACCTGCGTCCAGAAACAACAGTTGTTGCTAAAGGAGAGGCGGCATGTAAAGCAAAGGTGCTGGAGGCTTGCTATGAGTTCTAGACCCACCGCCTCCACTAACTACCTTCGCCCTCTGTCGTCTGTTCCGCCATCTGTAAAATTAGGGGTGGTGCTTTTATATTTCTAACATGCTATATAATTCTAGGTGAATGTTCCATCAAGCCATGAGCGCTGCTCTCTAGTGGGTCACAAGTGTAACTCACAAGGCTGGGCTCGTCATTACCTCTCTCCCAGGCAGGAACTGGCCATCCGGCTTGCTTCCAGAGTTGCGAATTGACCTTTATTGCTCAGTCGAGCACCAATACCTTTGTAAATACCTTCCTACGCGATCTCCCTAGAGCAATGTTTACCACCCTTCCTGCGTCCCCCAGGGCAGCCCCAGACGCCAGTACCCCGGGATCTGCAGGAACGAATACTGTAAACGGGCGCTAAATCCCCAGGGACCGAGAGTAATGGGTCTGACTTTTAACTGCAAGTCTAAAGAAGCGATCGCCCCCAACCATGCCATCCCTTCCCTGGGGCGCCAGGTTAGGTGCTCTCCCTCTCCCCAGGGACCACCGAGCTCACCCCACAGCGCAGCGTCCGCGGACCCGAGGATCCAGCGGCGCGCACTGCCAAGCAGCAACCGTGGCAGCGGCATTGCCTGCTCGCGTCCGCCGGGATCCTGACCACTTCCTCTTCCTGCTCCTGCTCCTACTCCTCCCCCTCCACCGGCCCCCAGGCGAGCCGCGCCGGGCTCTTGAGCGCCCCCCAGCCAGGCACCGGCCGAACCGGGTAGTGCCACAAGGCGTAATCGCTGACCCAAACGTGCCCTGCTTTAAAATTTAAAATCGTGTGGAAAGAAACTAAGGGCTAGGTTTGCTTTTTTGTTGTTGTTTTTGATTATTAGTTTTTAAAGGTGAGACAAAGTTTAAAGGTATAAAGTAGAAAATGTACCTAAGATAATATTTAAAGATTTAAGGCAAATATTTTTCTCCAAGTTACTGTTTTAACAGAATTCTCATATATTGGATTAAAGCAAACGACATGGGCTCTTTCCTCAGAATTGCTCTTAAATCTAATAGCTGGTTGAACAGATGTCAGTATTAAGATAATCTCATGCTTTCATTTTTTCACCACAACTTGATGATATTTGACTATATTTTTAATAATAGCTTTGTTAGGTTAGGTCCAACTATTTTTAAAAATGTGTTAGTTTCCAAATGCCACTGTAACATTACGACAAACTTACTGGCTTAAAACAATACAAATTTATTATCTGCAGTTCTGTAGGTCAGAAGTTTCACTTGGCTAAAATTAAGGTGTCAACAAGATTGTGTTCCTTCTGAAGGCTCTAGGGGAGGATTTCTTTCCTTATCTTTTCCATCTACTAGGGGCTGCCTGCATTCCTTGGTTAGTGGTCCCCCTCCCCATCTTCAAAGCCAGCAGTTTAGCATCTTCAAATCTCTAACTTTGTCCCCTGCCTCTGTTGTCACATCCTTTTCTCTTCCTCTGATCTCCTGTCCCCCTTTTATAAGGATCTTTGTGATTACACTGGGACCACTCAGATAACCTAAGATAGAGCCACATCTCAAGATCCTTAATTTAGTCATATCTGCGAAGTCCTCTTTCCATGCTAGGTAACATCATGTTCAGGAATTAGAACATCTTTGAGGGGGAGATTATTCAGCCTACCATGTAAAATTTTTTATTACTTTGTTTTCAATTTATTCTCAACTTGGTTTCCAAGCACAGTGAAAGCTATATTAACTGTAAATTCATTCACAGTGAAAATTCTTAATTTCTAAATGAAATTATTAAAGTATGTGTCCAAGAAATAATTTCATGCACTTCTAAGTTATTGTTTCCAATAATTTAATAATTAATAAAATCACTTCAAATTCTATAGCAATAATATCACTTACATTATGTTTTTACAACTATTCGGGGTTTAACCAAAGTCTCTGTGTAATCTATTTTGTGGATTAACTTTGAAACAAGATATGCAGCATAAAACACAGGTAGTATGGCCACAGATATGGACACAATGTACTTGGCCTCATTGAATCACATTTAATTAGATTTGTGTTTTTGCAAGAGCCTGTATTGCTAAACAAGTTTTTCCCAATGGTCATGACTAATTATTTGAGAAATATTTTCTGGTGTTACTTTTTTTCTGAAAAGATGAATATGTCCTCCTATACCTAGCTCAATGTCAAACTTGGTTTATTTAGGAATCCTTAGAGCAAAAAAATAAAATAAAATAAAATAAAATATATATATATTTCATCAAAAGAAACTCAGTCTTGATCATTGCTCCTTGGACAAGTGTCTGAGTTCTTCCTTTCAAGAGAGTCAGCAAGGTTTAAAGTGGGATGAAAGGGAGAGAAACAGTTTAACTCTTCTGGGAAAGGTCTAGAAATGCTGTTGGTATGAATCATTAATTTTCAAATAACTCATTTTATTTTTGCCATAATGTAAGTGAAAGGCAATAGGAAAGGAGGGGATTATTAAGAAACTTGGGATTTTTTCCATTTCTTTCTAAGTCTACTTCAAGCCGCCAAATATTAGAAAAAAATCAAATGAAAACTTAGAAAATTAATTGCTTTTCATGCAACTGTTTTTCAGCATTTCCACTGTTAATAGTCTATCTACTGAAAATATTTGCACAAGTAAGTAAATATCAATATACACTAATAAGGGACTGATTGGGAAAAAAAGATACATCCATTCATTGGAGTCCTAAGCAATTAATCAAAAGAATGAGGCTAATGTGGAGATATGTCCAAGGTCAGGCAAAAAAAATCAAGTTGTAGAATAGAAAGTAGACTGTAATGTATTCTGACTGTGTTCTCTTTTAACAAATGGTAATCATATAAAAACATGGTACAAATGTATAGACAATTCCTGAAACTATACATAAAAAACAGCGAACAGAGGAGAGAAAATGTTACCTCTGAGTAAAGGAAATGGGAGTGTGGGAAGGAGAAAAAGATGAACTTTATACTAAACTATAATGTATTACTTTTATAACAGTGAGCTTTTAAAAATACACAAGAGGGTCGACCAAGTGGTGCATTGGTTAAGAGCTGGCTTGGGACGCCAGAGGGCCCCGGTTCGGATCCCACATATGAGGGCCAGTGACACTGCCCTCTACAGCTAAGATGCTGAANGCGACGGCGTAGGCTGCAGCTTCTGCTGCAGTGGGTTGCCATGGGCTATCGTGTGTAGCCAGCAGCCAGCGTGAGCGGCCAGCAGCCACTGTGAGCGGCTGTCTGGAAGCCGGCGACTGATCTGCCTCACCTGGGAAGAGCGCAATGATGGTGCCAACTTGGGCCAGTGAAGCAATGTCCCCCACAACTAGACTGAAGAAGAAAAGGACAGCAATTTGTCTGTTCCGCTTCCCTAATTCCCCAGAGCTGTTCCCATCCCCCAATTTCCCAATTTAAAAAAAAAATCTTAAAAATAAATAAAAATACACAAGAAAAAATTAAGAGATATATGTACAACTTATAGCTTAGCAAAATATTTCATATATTTCCAGACAGAACGATGGTAAATGAAGATGTTTAATATTATTTGAAATACATACACAGTTAGCTGATCTCAAGCAAATTTGTATTTTTATTTGATGTTTTGTCATAATGTCTTTGAGATAGCATTGAATATATACTTACTGGGTACCGTTTAAAAATGATTTCCTCCCTTTGAGGAATCCATCAAAGAGTAAATTTTACTTTCAATTAAGTTGAAAGATAAATAATTTGAAGATCATAAGAAATAAAAACTTAGTGTTAGACAATTTTCCCTAACTCATCCCAAGTTTTTAAATGGAGATTGCAGTCTTTGGAGATTTTGGTCACGTTAAGGGTACATCTACTGGAAATCAAGAAAGTTTTGGAATTTTGTAATTTCCAAGAAAAATTTAAGTATTGTATGGTGGTTTACATAATCCCTAAATTTCTTTTTATGAGGAAGAGAAGCTAAATTTTCATATTCTAATTCAGTCCCTTCTTTTTTTAATGTAAATTGAATTCCACTATATGATAATTTTTAAAACATTCTTTTCACTGCAATGCAATTTAGTATGCAAATTACTTTGATGATCTGAAGTTTGCATGTGTTCCCCACCCCACCCCCATGTTCTGCTTCAAATCTGATGTTAAAATAAATGAAAACTTTTAATTTATAAAGTAGACAATTTTGACTTCTAAATTACACAACACACTTATTCTTATTTGGGAAATATTTTCTTTTTCTCTGGGTAAAAAAAAATCCCCCTACCATAAAACATAATTATGTATCCCTATACTTAGCACATTGACTGGCAAACTTGTACTGTTATATTTGCTGAATGGTTTCCATACATACAATGTAAACATCTAGTAACCTCCTTTGCCAAATTCTCTACATGGAAATGATTTTAACTATTTCGTGAAAAATGAATTAGTTTTTAAGGAAAAATCCAGAGTTTTTTCGTTGATCTCTGGTATCTTTTGACTTGTAACCCAAAGCGCTATCCCTAATGCCACACCTGATCCCTGTTGAAGAGTTCTGACAGATGACAAGACTTGTAGAGCTTATCTATACCTAGTGTTGATATTTGCCATATCATTCAGTTATTTTCAAACCAACTACTTTTACTAAACATACGCAATGTGCAGACCACTTTAACCGATAATCGAGCTTCGAAGAGGTATAGGTGTAGATCAAGAAATGTCCTGTCTAGTAAGGAAGTGAAAACGACAGATAAGACAATAATAAGAAAAGCAAGGTAACAATATATGATGGATGTCAGCCGTGACTTTATTGTACAGAAGAGTATGACGGAGGGAAGTCGGAGGCTGTCCCAGCAGGCGCGCAGCAACAAATAGGATTTAATCCCGACTCTGAGAAGTCCAGAGCTATGCACTTCAATTGGGAATCTATTGCTATTAGTCTGATGAGTCGGGGCCTGCCGGGTTCTGCCGCCGTAGAGAACATAGGCGCGACCCGAGCCGGGCCCGCCCCATCCACGCCCCGTGCACGCCCCACTCTGGGTACGCAGCCAAGCGAGGGGCTGTCCCCAGCCTGCCCAGACGTGGGGGCGGCCACAGAGGCCCCGCCCCTGCCGGCCGGGACAGCCGCGCAGGCGCAGTCTCGTGTGGTTGTAGACGCGGAGGCAAGGCCCGCCGGGGTGAGTCGGGTGTATGGCAATGGGGTCACCGCGGCGATGGGGTCGCTGCAGTTTCTCGATCTTTATTTTCACGACCCCGACCCCTGGTGGCGTGACGGGCCTGGGAGAGAGGCCCCTACGCGCCCTCGTCTTCCCGATACTTGGGAGCACCAGGCAGTCACGTAGGGCCGCGTGAGCGCGGCGGGGCCAGCCCCGCGTTCGGGCGGCGGCGGGAGGAGCCGGGGGCGTAGGGGCGGGAGAGGGGCCTGCAGGGAGGAGCCCGAGTCCCCGCCTCACCTTGACCGCGGGCCCGGCACCTTTCCGGCCTTGATTCAGCGCTCTCCTCACTACGCATTTCCTCTTCAGAAACTTGGGGTGTTTTTTTTTTTAGTGACCTGAGCAAGCGTGACTACCCAAGGGTTTTTGGCAGCCTCGTGCAGTGTTAGAAGCCCTGGAGAACGGACTCCCTGGGTCCAGATCCCCCATCCACCAATTCACTGGCTCCGAAACCTCTGCACCGCACTTAACGTAACCTCTGTGTGTCCCAGTTTCATCAAGTGTAAAGTGGGGAAAATAATAGTAACCGATCTCATAAGGTGGTTGTGGGGATTAAATGGGGTTAGTATCATTGAAGTGTAGAACCGAGCGTGATGCGCACAGTAAAAGTGAGTGCTGTTCATCTTTTTTGAGCCTGGTATCTACACGGAGAGTTGGGTCCCAATCTACCCCCCTCTTCACCCCAACCGCTGAAAATAATTGGCCAAGAATAGGGGGGAAAATTGTTTTTTGAGACTGTGGGCTTTTTCTCCCACATAACTTGTTTTTTAAAAATTAAACATTTCTAAACAACTTAGTTGTACATCCTACGTTAAAAGAAAAGACATGTTAGAGTAATGCTGAAGTTGAAAACTGAAAACTGGTTGGGAAACCACTGGAGAAAAATGGCCAGAATGTATTTGTGCTGAAGAGTTATCTTTAGAAAGGCCTGCTTGCAAAGTTAGCCCTTGTTTGGCATCTGGGCACAATATAGTTTATGCTGTACAATATGATTTGTGCTGAGGTTACCAGCCCCCATAAAAATCCTGGGTATGCGAGCCTGTAATGGGCTTCCCTGAGCAGAAACATTGCAGAGATGTTGGATTTGACCTCTTCTGGGATGGGGAGAACAGAACATAAGGAAGCTGCAGATGGATTCATCCAGACTTCACCTGTGCTTTTTCCCATTATGATCAGGCCGTGTGTCCATACTATTGCACATTGCTGTAATAAATGTTAGCTGTGAGTACAACTATATGCTGTGTTTTGTGAGTTCTTCTAGTGAATCTTGGAACTCCCCAGACACTATTGATAGAAAGTATTTGAAGCTCTAATAATTGAACTTGTCTCTTTTTGGTTTAGAGGGGAATTGAAAAAGAAAGCTATACAGATAAGTGATTGTTAAACTGTGGATTACTATCCAAAATGATTCTGTATGTTTAGACATATTGTATATGTCAGAAAAATCACTGGAAATTGCCAAGTTAAGTTTCAGTTAGCATTTTTTGAAAAAAGGCACAGGTCTTGTACAGATTCCAGGTCAAATACCAGGTTCTTTTTTTTTTTTTTTTTTATTCTGCCAGCATTATCTATATGTTAATGTTCATATATCAGGAGTTTATCTGTAATTGGGGAAAAAAGACATGGCTAGTTTCTCATGGGCCATTTTTCCTGGCTTCTGTGGTTATGTCTATATCTTCTCAGGATATCAAGTTAAAATAGTTGGAGGTACATTTGTAAGTTTGGAGGTGGAAAGATCATATTTGCCATCTGATAATGTCTCTTTCCTCAGTAAAGTAAGAGACTAGATTTTATTTTGAGGAATAGGGATATGGAGGAGTTGGATGTTTGGCTGAGTGAAAAAGGTTTTTCAAATTGCTGTGTGACGACTAGGTAAGTAAGTTGACCAGAAGGTGTAATAGATAACAAGATGTCCTGATCCATTTGAGATTGTGGTTATGAATTTAGTGGACCTAATTTGCTTTCTTATGAGACTTTCTTTAACCTATTTGGATACAGATATGGAGAAAGTGGTTAATTGGCTTTATCTAGGATTGGGGTTTTCCTAAAGGGTTGATGAGGTAGTCATTCAAGCTGTGCACACGTATTCTGTTCCTCCTGGGTACATGATAAAATTGCACTCTTTGTATTTGTAAACACCCCCTCCCCCGACCCACCCCGCATATCTACTTGAAGTTAGATGTGACCATATGTCTTGTTTTGGCCAATAAAATATGAGCAGACGTGACGTCACGTGTGTCACTTCCAAGTGAAACTTCAAGAATCAGCACTCCATGAAATCATGGCAATGATGCTTTAGAAGACAGTGGTACCATGGAAAGTCTGAAGTTGTATTCATGACATGATAGTTACATTCTAAATATTAATTCTTATGTGGACTCATTTCCAGAAAACTTTGGTGATGATTCTTGTGATAAAAGGTGGTTAAAGTAGCATTATTGTGTAATGCTTATATACCGTAGAGTTTTTAATAGACAGTAAATCAGTTTCCCCTGAGGGCCGTTATTAACAATGTACTTCCTTATGTTTAGTTTCATGATTGTAATGGGTGCTGCAAATGCATTTGCACATTGCAGTAGGATATGAAGAGATGAATTGTTAAAAACCATAGCAAAAAGAAATGTAAACTTGGTTAAAATGCTTTCACTCTTTGTATTTTAATATTTTTATTCCTTAAATGTAAAATGACTACCTAATTTTTTGATGTAAACTCATTAAATTCAAACAGAAAAAAAAAAAATAAAGAATCAGCACTACACTTGCCATGCCCCGTTCTCCCTGCCCTTCTGCAGTGATCCTGGAAACACTTGTTGAGATGCAGCCTCTTGTTATCCTGGACACTAAAGGAGTATAGGAGTGGCTGATCAAATAATCTGGAAGAACTTGAAGTTGTGATCAGAGAATGGAATACTTGAATTAGTGATTTTGCAAGGTGGAACTGTAGGGGTAAGTGGATGACGAAGTTTGAGGCAGAAGGCAGTCAGAAATGAAGTGGTCAAGGAACTCAGAGGCCTTGTGTATCTCTGTGACCCTTAAGGCCTTAATTTGACGCAGCTCAGTTCAATAGTCTATGACCCTTGGACTTAAAAAAATGGCTCTTAAAGTGGTAAACGCAAAAGCTCCCTTATGTGGAACATGGTATGACTAAATCAAGATTCAGAATTTATTACTGAATTGAAGAGTCTTCCGCCTTGATCAATAAAAGCAAATAAACAAATAACCATGAAAATTACCATGTAGCCATGGAGCCGGGTGATATTAGATAGGGTTTAGGCTAAGCTCTTTAACAGAGACTCTAAAATGTAGTAGTTTAAAAAATGCTTAACTTGTATCTCAAATTTTGAGAATTAACTGAGTTTTTAAGAAATGTAAGAGAGAGGTAAGTAACACCATGAAAAAAACAGTCAAATTCAGTGTGGGACATTATACAACCTTGCTACTGAAATTGTCTGTGGACCCCCAGCAATGGCTCCCCATTGGGAACTTGTTTGGCAGAATTGCAGGTCTTGTGCCAGATGTATTGAGTCAAAACCCACATTTTAACAAGATCTCCAAGGCGACTCATATGGGTTGCCCTGATCTCTTCAAAAAGCTAGTGTTTTAGGAAAGTTAACTCTCCATCTTTTATGGGAGGGACAGTTATAGATTAAACGATACTAAAGTGACAACCATTACAAAGTACAAACCTTGATTGAATCCTTATTTAAAAAACCATAGAGAAGACACTTTTGGGTCAGCTGGAGAAATCAGTATATGATGGGATATGAGATAATATTAGGGAGTTGTTCATTTTCTTAGATGTGATAATGATATCTTTATTCTTAAGAGATACATGTTCTGCAACTTTCAAATAGTTGAGCAAAAACATACATATATATGCACATTAATATTTAGAACAAATGTGGCAAAATGTTGTAGATGTGGATCTTCATTATACTGTTCTTTTAACTTTTGTGAAGTTTAAAATTTTTCATAATTTGTAATTAGAAAAATATGGCAGTAGCTTAAAAAGATAGAAATGTATTTCTCAGTAGTCCAGCACTCGGTCATACAGTGTACGTAGGGTGGCTCTACTGTGCTTGGCACATGGTTTCCATCCCTGGGACATTGTGGCTTTTTTAGCTCCTACTATTGGGTTGTCAGAAAAATCATTACGTATTTTTTCTATGTTTTTCGTTGCAAAAATGCATCGTGACTTTTCTGACAACCCAGTGTTTCCTAGCTAGTGGAACAGGAGAAGGGATAAGGGGGGGCACATAACCCAGAAGCAACACGTATTCAGTTGGTCAAAACTTTAGTTTTTTCATTCACCTGTCTGCATATGCCTAGGTAGTCGTTGGTAAAACTCAAATGTAATGTGCCATTTGTATATTGGTTTAATAAAGATTTCTTTGGTTTCAGTTGCCTTTCTGCTCTTCTTCCTCTGTTGACTTAGTAGACCAATTAAAGTTGAAGTCATTTCAATTTTAATGTGCATTAAGTGAAGTACATAAAATTTTGATTTTGAGGATTAAAGTGTATTCATTTTTATCCCCTACCTTTCAGTAAATAACAGATGCGGGTGAAAGAGCCATCCAAAGCTTTACCCGAGAAAGCCAAAAGAAGTAAAAGGCCTGCTATATCTCATGATGAAGACTCTTCAGATGACATTGCTGGTAAGTTGTGATATCTGGCATCCTAAATATGTGTTGCAGAAAGGAAATTGTATGTTTTTAATTAATAAATCCTTTGCTCTTTTTACCATTTTCTGGATGAATTTTAAAATTAGCTTGACTAATTCTAAAATATCCTGTTGGTGTTTTTATTGAGATTTTGTTTAGTTTATAAAGTAACTTAGAATTGGCTTCTTTTTTTGTTGTTCTGTTTCTCATGGCTTGTTAAAACCAAGCTCTTCAAGCCACTAAGGTTGGCAGATGACCCTGGGGAGCTGCTGGCTTCAGGGCTTGCTTTGGCCTGGGAGGATTTTCTTTACTGTTTTACTAATTCAGCTATCCATTTAAAAAGATGTTTCAAATTTATTTCCATTTTTATGTGATTTAACTTGGATAGTGTTTCAGGATAGCTAGATTGCTGTGTTAAAGGAAGTCTTTTTATCTTTAAATATTTGTTCTCTCTGTTAATAGGGTTTTCTTCAGGGATTCTGATTATTCTTTTTTTTTTCTTTCTTTTTTTTCTTTTTTTCTGATTATTCTTATGTTAACTCTCTTTTGCCTACCTTCCATAGTTATTTTTTCTCAAATCCTGTAAAACTCCTATTCCCTTTTCATTTTCCTTGCTGTTTTCATTTGTATCCTTTGCTGTGTTTTCAGCATTGTCTGTGTCGCCTTCATTTTTGTGTTTTCTTTTTTCTTCCACTTCTTTCCTGAACTCTGCCCGTCATTTCCTATTGTTTTGCCACCTTTGCTAGAGTGTTTGCTTCTGTTTTGTGTTTTTATTTTATGACAGAGATTGCTCTGCCATGATTTTCCTTCTCCTTCCTTCTTTTCTTTTTCTTATGTTATCTTCGCATAGAATTTGCTGCTTTGGTTTTTCTTTGATTACCCATTTGTTGAAGGAGGGTTGCTATTCTTGGACCAGTAAATTTTAGAGCTTTTATGTAGGAAGGAGGGCCAGCACTCTGTTGAGACCTAACTGGAATTTTGAGTTTGCGCTCATTTAACCTTTACTTCTTTCCAACCAACAGGGTTATGCAGCCCTGAGTTTTTTCAGTGTCCAAAGTATCCCTTATCCCTAACTGCCAGAGACAAGACTGTTTCCTGCAGATATGGCTGCTTTTTTGTTTTTCAGCGAATGAGAAATTCCCTTTTGTCTCTACTCAAAACGAAATTGGCTGTCAGGGAGCCCTGCCACCGTGGTTGCAGCACAGAGATCTAGGTTTTGTTCCATCTGTGAAGCTTACGTCGTTCCCTCTGAAATCAATAGCTGCAGCATCCTCTCTGCTTCCTTCTCTGTGCACTCCTGTCTGATCTCTGCTGCTCTGATGTGGGAGCCCTCCCGCTTTATTTGTGACTTGGCTATTCAGCTGTCTCCTGCTTTCTCTGAAAACGAACTTAGTGTATTTATTTCATGTTCTTTTTGCCCTTAAATAAAGGAGAAAGGGGAAATATTGATTTTATGCCACCATTTGCTAACTGGTAGAACTCCTGGAAAACTTATTAATATTAAAGTGGAAAACATGGAGATTTGGATTACTGTTTTTTATTTGTTCATGTGAAACAACTGTAGTCTTTAATGTATTTTCTATTTTTATTCAAGAATCTCTAGAGGACCCTCTTGTCAAATGAAATTATATGATTAACCAAATTATAGAAAACTAAGGAAATTTGCTTATTAACACAGAAGGAAATTTTTTATATTTTCACTCCACAAAAGATAGTTCCATTTTAAATACTGGTTAGCTCTTGTAGGAAAACTTCAAACTTTTAAATTTACTTATAGAAAGTATATATGGTTGAGACATTTAAAAGCTAATAGATTTAATTCAGGGGCCTGGAACCTATTTAAAGTAATTCAACTGAATAAACTTTAAAGATCTTACTGATTTTGTTTAATGATTCATGAATTGGGTAGCATCCCATTTAGCAGTTTTAGAAAGGAGATCCAAGGAGCTGTTGAAAATGAAAGTCTTTTATAGACAGAAGGGAACCGGACAAGGAAGTTACACTGGCAAAAAGCAGATCTGTTGTGGCAAGGTCACCTTCCTTTAGGGGATACTAGTGGTCCTAGCAGATTATTTTACTAGTGTTGACCAGGTAATTCCAGATTGACTGTTTGAAGATTCCATTCCAGGGAGAGGCTGAAACTGTAATTAAGTTAGGTATTAAGTCTCAGTTTGGTGACATAGGGCTTAACATAAATGACTCCATTTTGGTCCTGTTGTCTCTTTTTTAAAAAGTACGCCTTTTTATCTTCAATTTATTAACAATTTCAGTTTTATAAATCTGAATTATAGAATCAGAGAATGGTTAAGTTGTACCCTGCTCACATCCCACCCCAAAGATGATATAGAAGGTGTGTGGAATGATTTTCCCCTTAGAATTTTGAAATATAAAAACTCAAACAAAACAATGACATGTGGTAAACCATTTCTAGGTCTTGAACTTATGTGGTCATTTATCAGTCTTCCCCGAACATCCCTTTCTTTAATGACATGTGTCTTTGTTTTTCAAACATAGGACTTCAGAGTTACTCCTTTTATATCTATTCTTATAATTTGGTCTTGGTGTAAAATTAGAAGTTTTGAATCTTTTTATCAGATTTACATATTATTTTTGTTAAAATTATATTTTGTTATAAATAACTTGTTAGGAATCATATTCTTAGCCTTCAGGATGAAATGGAGGTAATGCTTGGCCTCTCTCTAGTTAACTAGTAGGTGAAAAGGAATGCTTTGCATTTAGAAAGGTAAGTGAAGAAAGTTGAAATGTACATACTCCTGTTTCCCTCTTCAAGTTACTCAGTCCCTTTGTTGTTTGATTTTGGCAGGCAGTTGTAGGTTTGGTGTTTGGGATATTGGAGGTGAAGAAATTGAAATGTTCAGGTATTTGGGAGAAATGAAAGTGTGCTCTTGGGAGAAGAATATGGTTATTTGAAGAATTAAAAACATTTGTCTCCACACAGTGCACAGGGTGGGACTGTTATAAAGGACAGTTAAGGACCATACAAAATCATTTGTTATTTGGGAATATTCATGAAGGAGAATTCTGAGAATTCTTATTCCTATAAATTAAGTCATTCTTTGTTCCTGCTTTTCCTTTCTCCCAATGATGATGAAAATACTATCATAGCAGAGATAGTCTATGTGAAAAGATTTTACGTGTGTATCTTAATGGAAAGAAAATAACATTCAAAATGCTTGATACATAGTAGTTGCTCAATAAGTAATCTCCTTTATTTTATTTATTAAACTTTTATTTTTCACCTAATTTTAGATTCACAGGAAGGTGCAGAGAAATATACAAGGTCTCATCACCCATCTCCTGACCTCTCCTGATTTAACGTGTTGTATTTCTGTAGTACAATATCAAAATCAGAACCTGACATCAATACAACCCTTAGCGCTTATTCAGATTTCACCAGATATACATGCACTGTGTGTGTGTGTGTGTGTGTGTGTGTGTGTGTGTGTGTGTGT